TAAGTGTCATTAAATAAAAAGTATAATTAAATAATCACATAATTTCACATTTAATTGAATCGTCACATAGACGGGTGCTCTAACGCCACCAATACTAGATAACATTATTCATTTGCAAATCACCACCTTTTAATGAACGCTATTGAATAAGATTTAGGTCTAATCAATTTTTAATTTATTACATTATTGATACAAGTGCTATAGTTAAAAGTTAACAAAAGCATACTATATTGTAATATTATGAAACACAAATATTATTATTAAGCCCATGTTTGGTCCGGATTAAAATCTGATTTTAATCTAAATCAAAGTCAAACAATCAATATTAACTACATATTTCATGTGTCTCACAATTTTTCAATCACACATTTCAAAAACGTATATCACAATCTACTGAAAATCTAATTTTGATCACCACCAAATACCCTCTAAATATGTGAATGCTTGTTAGAACAACTAGTTCATAGTATCGAATATAACACAAGCCAAATCTAAGTAAATTAAAGAAGTTATCCTATCGTTCAAACTCAAGTTGAATTTGCTAGGTCAAATTCATTAATAACCTTGGTCCATCGCACAAGAACCATTAAAGATATTAGAGAATGAGTAGATACACGAGTTAAATGTTTGCACTTGTTTCGATCATCTCATCAATCGCCATGAGTGAATAACTTTCTATAGACTAAATTTTTGTTCAGCTATCAAAACAATATCAATAACACAATCGTCATTGAAAAATGGCTCATTGACTTCGAGATAGTTATTCATGTGAAATCTCTACAATGGATTACAGTGGGTTACTCAACGAACTTGCTCAGATAATAAGCATATACATAATCACTCTAGGTATCTCCACACTTTGGTTGTGAAATCAACTACCTTCTACTAAAGAAATTAGTGCAATATGTGTTAGCCTATCCGCTCTCATCTGTACATACGTTTACAGACTGCTCAAGAATAAAACATGGCGACATAACTCACTATCACAACTTTTTGCGATTAATATGATCTCTGGTACTTATTAGTTGGACTCCATTATTTAATCAATCAAAGCAATAAATAAATAACAAAAATTCTAACATATAAAAAACAAAAGCATACTATATTGTAATATTATGAAACTCAAATATTATTATTAAGTCCATGTTTGGTCCGGATTAAAATCTGATTTTAATCCAAGTCAAAGTCAAACAATCAATATTAACTATATCTTTTATGGGTCTCACAATTTTTCAATCACACATTTCAAAAACGTATATCACAATTTACTGAAAATCTAATTTTGATCACCACCAAATACTCTCTAAATATGTGAATGCTTGTTAGTTGAACAATTTCATTGGAGATCCACCTTAAAGATTCTATATATATGGATGGCTATATCAGTGCAGATTATCTCTAAATGGGTAGTGAGACTCATCATTAGACTTGAGATCATAAAATCTTAGGTGTGGATCATTACTCTATTAAAGTGTTGGACGTGATTCTTTTTAGGGAATAAAAATATAATATGAATTTTGCCACATATACATAAAAAATGTATATAATGCATCATGTGGAGGGAAAAAATTGAATTATAAAATTGATTATGTTTTAAACTGACAAATAGTAAAGTGTTGTGTGACATTATGTAATCTATTATATAAATATTGATGTACGTATGACAAGATCCATATAATATTAATTGAGTACGATGAGAATCACATGAAGATTGATGAATGCTTAACGTGAGATTCATCATTCTTAATTAGTAAGAGACTATGTGGTGATGCTCATGGCCTTAGATGTCGATTCTAGGATTTCTAGATCAAGATGGAATTATGATTTAAAAGGAGATTCAAATAGACCTCAATAAAGCTATTGTTTACTGATGAAGAACGTGATTGGTAAAATGAGATTGATATTTTTTGTAAAGAGGATTAATAAAGAATGTTTATAAATGTATATAAAGAGGATTATGCGTTGAGCCAAAAATTGCAACTCTCATATTATGCCTCTCGTAGATCAAGAATTAATAAAAAGGATTCATGGTTGAGCCAAAGAATTCAGATTCACGAGTTTTAATCTTTAGAAGATGAATTTTCTATCACGAATCGCGCTATAACAGCTTTATAGATCTGGTGCATGGAATTCAAAGCATACATAAATGTTCATAGTGTACATAAATACTATGCGTTTCCGTGTAGATCACATGAATTTGTGCAATCTAGGACTAGTCACATGGCTTCCAAACGTGACGCTCAATATTTTTGGCAATTCTTACTATCATGTGCACATCTAAAATTACATGACACTTGACATATTTTATGTACTACAAGTTACTCGCGCCGCTCAACATGGACAGACTTTTATTTTATTTATTACATGTACCAAACCTAAGCAGCAAATATATTGAATTATGATATGGACCTTAGTACTTTTTTCACATGGGAGGGGCTATTTTTTATTCAATTTTTATAATTGGTTTTCCCATTGTGTTAGGAAATTTTTTACGTTTGTAAACATATCCATGTCCAAAAAGGTGAATGTACAAAATTATGTAGCGAAAATGAATTTTTTTACGTACTATGTTTGTCTGTTAGTATAGAAATTAAAGTGGTATAATTGAGGATCACATGTATTGGTTTGGCGTCACGAGAAATCCTAAATCACGATCGACAAAAAATATTATTTAATTAAGGTTACGAATTTATTTATATTTATTTTAGTGTCAAGAGAAATTAGTATTTAGGTCTTCAAAGAAAAAGGAGAGTTAGAATTAATATTTCTTGACTCACATCTCTGCGTGCCCTTGGAGAAGGCAACTCTCCTTAGTATATGGATTCATTAAAAGGGACATCTAACTGCCGTATGGGATCCAGAAAGCCTAGGTAAGGTGACAACTAGAAGTTTTTTTTGTGGTTAATGGAGAATAATTATTGGACACAAGAATACACATCACAAGAGTTGATACTAGAAAAGTACGACATATGTAGTTAATTTTCCCATTCTTATACCTAATCAATACATCAAACTCGAGGAGAACTAGAATCAATATCTTAAAACTTCATAACATGTTTGATAGTTCGGATTTAACATCAAACAATTGACATTTTATTACATGCCCGTCTTCTTAGATTTTCTCTAATTACAACTAGTTCATAGTATCGAATATGACACAAGCCAAATCTAAGTAAATAAAAGAAGTTATCCTATCGTTCAAACTCAAGTTGAAGTCAAATTCATTAATAACCTTGGTCCATCTCACAAGAACCATTCAAGATATTAGAGAATGAGTAGATACACGAGTTAAATGTTTGTACTTGTTTCGATCATCTCATCAGAGTGAATAACTTTGTATAGACTAAATTTTTGTAGTCGATAGTTTTGTTATAGTTATTACATGAGCGATTATTCAATTAAGACAAGTTTAAATTTGATTTTTTATTAAAACAAAAAATATTTGACTAAAAAATCCATGAATTTTGCTACTCGTACATAAAAATGTACATAACCGGTTACCAAAAATGATGTAAATGAAAAAAAATGGATGAAAAGTTTATTGTGTAAATTGACAAATGATATAACATTATGTAATCCATTATTTAAATTTTAATATATATATAGTAAGATCATCAGCGTATAAATTTATGATTGGACCACTCTCAAATGCGTACTAGGTCGGTTGAGACCATCAATGAACGCCAAGTAAATTCACAAGCACTAGATCCAAGTGAGTCATGGCGGAGCACCGCCCATTATTGGTGGCGAACCCCCTTATCCGGGGTTCAAGTTCACGGCGGTGAGATAAATATTGAAGTAGTTCGTGGAAATCCACGTGTTGTGGATTTGTGAAACATTCACACATGCCCCACGGTGCCCTACAGGCTTTAGCCTTTATTTTATTTAAATAATTCATTACTTTTAAAGCACGACCTTTATTTCTTCTTCCTTTTTGCGTGAGTTTCGTGTTATTCGATGTGCACATTTGCATCAAAGGTTGATACAATGATCAGATCTAAGTAACCTTAGGCTTAGTATTTTATTAATCAAGAAAGGTATAAGTGAACAATGTTTTAATAATAATACTTCAACATGTGATTTACATTAAGATATACCTTTTTTTTTTTACTATTTATCAATCTAATACAACAAATGTAATTTGTACATGTCTATTGTCAAATCTTGAGAAAAAAAAAAACTCGCTCATTACTACATAAACGAAAAAACGTGAGTATGAATAAGCAAGAGAGAAAAATAGGAAAAAATATCGAGTTGCAGCAATCATGATCGAGCATCCAAGATTGAGTCATATAATTTGTGACTTTTTAAGCCAAAAAAGATAAGAAAACATTAAGGGTACGTTAGAGTCCTATTTTTTTTTTGTGTAAAATGAATTTTTAAATAGTAAATCGATGGAGAATGTGTAGTTAAAAATGAATTAAAAGTTTTTTTTTTTTAAAAAATAAGAATCAAAGATGGCCCAAGTCATGAATCAATCACACGCTCATGATCTCCCATCCAAGCAAATGATGAAGACCCTTTTGCATCAATAGATGAGCACTCACTCACTGACACGTGTAAAGACTGTTTAAATTGCACGTTTAACTCTCACTGACCATCAGATCAGGTAAAATCCAACGGTCACAAAAAATTGAAAAACAATTGAAAAATAGGCAATGATCATGTTGTACCGTAACTTCCATTTAGTACCCTATTAGATTCCCCTTGTGAAAATAGGAACTACCACTTTCACTTCATTTAGCAGATTTCTTGAGGACAAATCTCTCCTGTTTTAAGCAAAGAAGTGATTCTTTTTTCACTTTTATTCCAAGAATTCATACGATAATTACTCCTATTTTCCTGTTTTTATTGAACAATCTTTGTGGGCTTCTTTGTCTTTTACGTTATTTTTGGTGATTTTGTGTATGATGAGGAATTAGATGAATGTATTTGGTATTTTGGTTTATGGGTTTGATTCATGACTGATTCTACACTAAGGAAGTGCTGACAGTTCAAAAATGGCGGGTGAAATTGAAGAGCCTTTCAGGCTTAATTTTCAGGTACCCTTTAATGGATTTATTTATTTTGTTTTATCTTTTGGAGGTTTTGGATCTATTCATATGATGAAGCAATGATTTGATCTGTGTTTTGTGGGGGCATGACGAGTTTTTTTTTACAATGAATCTACTTTTTCTCGTTTTTTATTTTTTCTAAATTTAAATTTTTATCCAAAAAAATGGGTTACTTTGTGTGAAATTTGTTCAAATCATGTATAGTAAAATTTATTGGTTTCAGATACTATTTTCCCCATAAGATATTATGTAATTTGAATTATGATTTTTTACTTTGCAGCCATTTTTGACATTAGATCAGACTTTGACTCAATGTTGAACAAGTTTCTGATATGTTGAAACTCTTAACATTCGTTCAAAAACATGGAATGGGTACCTTGGAATTAAAATTGTATGAGATTGTGGTACGAGGTGTGATAGCTCACGTATAAACAATACGGTCTTGTTTAGATTGTGGTATTGGACACGATTTGGCTATAGAATGGATAAAGCCATAAATCTGCGCTTCTGTTCTGGGATGTCGTCCCTTATGGAGATATCCTTGTTTGACGTTTCTTTCTATTATTGATCCCTTTTATGTTATAATGTTGCACTTAAACGATATAATGATATTAGGTAGTGTTATCAAATGCTTATTTATGATTCATGGGATGGGAAATAGTTACTCTGTTAACTATTAGGTAGTGTTATGAAATCGAGAAGTAAATATCTAGTGTTTTCAGCAGCATGAAATTGAGATTTCAAAATTGGAAGCCAGTAAAAGATTATAGAATCCCCTTCTATCGACTATAATGGTATGCATTATATAAATTTAAAGCATGTAAACATTAATTACAATTATCAAAATCTCCAGTGCAGCTTTCAATATTGCAGGAATTCATAAAATTCATGCTTTCTAACATACGAGAGGAATTTTTTCACTTGATGTAATTCTACTTTGGGGAGAGTGAACTTATCCAATCTAGCATAAGATATTAGAACCCCTAAAGTAACATCTTCATAATTATTCAAAAATCAGCTGAATTTTAACAAAGCAATGGCTGACATCAATTCTAGCTGTAAGTGAACATATGAAAGGTTGGCATATTTGTTTTTTATGTCTCGTATTGGAAAGTAGTAAGTCCATTTATTGTAATTTTCCTGGAGTTCTTATTTTTCACCTCTCAATAGCTATTCTCTTGAAATGAACAGGCAGATACTCTGCACTCTGGCTCTATTTCATTTGGAAGGTTCGAAACAGAAGCTCTTTGTTGGGAGCGGAGGTCATCCTTCTCACACAACAGGTATCTGGAAGAGGTAGAGAAATACTCAAAACCAGGTTCAGTTACAGAAAAAAAAGCGTACTTTGAGGCTCATTTTAGAAAGAGGGGACTTCTCGGCCAGAGTTCATCTGAGTGTCTGAATGGGATGGAATATCAATCCAGTGAAAATGATATCTCAGAAAGTACGGGTTATGATGAACATCATGAGCACGAGGATGAGGGCAATTGTACCGCACGTATTGATCTGAGTTCACACGGTTCAGTACATGACATAGACTATGATGTTACTGAATCAGAATCAAAAAGTGGAGATTTTACTGCATCATTTTATGAACTTCAGGTTGAACCTGCATCTGATACCATTGGTGCAGACTTTGTTGCTGAACATGAAAAGGCAGAAGAAGCAAATCTCACTGAATTAGAACCTGCATCTGATACCAACGGTGCAGGCTTTGTTACTGAACTTGAAAAGGCAGAAGAAGCAAATCACAGTGAATTTGGCAAGTTAGTTCCGGCCAATTCTGACTCAAAGATTAAAATAGGACAGAATGTTCAGGAAGAAGGATCCAGTTTGGATACAAGGCATTTGACAACCGTGGCCATTGACTTGCACCTCAATAATCTTGTTGCTGAGGAAACTATTGGCGCTAGACCAGAAAATCAAGTAGGCCACTCCATCCAGGATCTAGAGGTGTGTCCTTTATGAATTGTCTTGAAAACCAATAAGACTATAGTTCGAAACTAGTTGATATGGTGATTTGGTTCTGTAATAATTTTTGGACTATGATATTGAGATTTTACTGGCTAGATGCATTCGGCAATTAAATGTATTTTCTTTATTGTGTTCCAGTTGTGTTCTGTTTCTTGAATAGGATCTTTATGCATATCACATCTTTTCCGTGCTTTACATGTCTACTATCTGGAATGTAGGGAAGGGTTGCATCTGAAATCAAACACATGAAGCCAAGATTGACACCTCGAGTTAGTGTTGCACAAGAGAAGAGAAATATGATTAGTGAAACTCCTAAAGGTTCTGGAAAGCCTAGAGTAAGAGTCAATGACACTCAAGTAAGATCTAAGGCAGAAAAGAAGACTCCAGAAACTGTTTCTCAGAACAAATGTTCAATGCACAAAATGCATAAATATGAGGTGGTTTTTACTTTTTTGAATACTATTCAAGTGATTACATTTTCAAATCCGAATTCTTTGCTGTGATGCTGTCTCTCTATAATTTTAATTGTTTGCTGCTTTTGTATCATTTTGTCTACTCAGTATTCTTGGACTATAATGTTCTTCCTGTAATTTACTGGTTCTCCCTTTCCACAGGTTTTTCCGGGTTCAAAGGAAAAAGTTAGCCGAGAGATTAAAAGGTACTTAATTGTCTTGTTCTGTTAGTTCAGTGGATGCCAAATTTGTTTCTATCATGAGTAATACCAAGGATCACCTCTTTCTGATTTCAGCACTAATAAAGAATCAGGAATCCAGAAAGTTTCTGTGTGTAGGCCTTCGTCATTGCAGAAGACTGCTAATACAGTACATCAAAGTGCAAACAGGTTCTTATAAGAAACAACTTTTGTAACTTGCGTTATATTTGTGCAGTGAATTTTTCTGATCTCATATATAAATAATGTCACTTAGGCTCACACAAGCCGCAAGTTTAACACCAGGCATGAGGCGGAATGGCTCTGATTTCAGTTCCAGAAGTGGTGAACATATGGAGAAAAGGAAAGAGGCAAGAAAGCTCACTACTCCGTCAATTGAAGCATGTTTATACAATAACTATATCCCTGTGTCTGATAAGTTCTTTTATATATTTTTTAGTATCATATGAAGTCAGAGGGAAAAGCGCATGCAAAGGAGACTGAAATTGACAAACTTCAAGCAAAAAGTCAGGTGACAAACTGTAGAAAATGCCATGACTGGGAGAGAATTTCTTTTCTTTTATGTCAAGAACAGACACGTGGATGGATTACCTGACAGTCAGTTGGAAATTAGCATTTGTTTCTAGTTGATATACTGATAATTATGTTAGTTTTCTTATAGAAGAAGAGTCAAAATCAAATTAAAAAATGCCATACCATTGTCCTGTTACTTTTGTGCCTGTTCGTTTGCACATCAGTTTGAGGTTTGAAAAATTTTAAGTTGGCATTTATTCTGTTTTTTGCAGGAAAAGGAGAAAGCTGAAATTAAACAGTTGAGAAGAAGCCTCAACTTCAAAGCTACACCCATGCCTTCCTTTTATCATAGAGCTGGGAAAGGGTCAGATAGAAGCAAGGTACATCAAATTCTTCTTTCTTCTTCTAATGCCATTGAGTAACATTGAGATGCCTGAAAATACCCTTTCTGTTATTGGATCATATGTTTCCTTGCATTTGACTGAATCCTTTTACTCAATTGATCATTTGATCTTCTTCATCAATGGAGTTCTTGTGGAGATGTTAATGGACCGAGACGAATCGGCTCAGTTTGGCTCGCCTAAGGTTGGGCCGAGCTGTTTGCCCCATTAATTTTTATTTGTTTTACGTTATTTTATTTTTGTTGTTTTCATAAAAAAAATAAATAAATAAATAAATTGTGGTTTCAAATAAAGGTAGACATAGAGGCTGCTTTTACAATATTTATGGTGAGCCAATAGCTGGCTCCATGCCGACTTGCGAGCCGACTAGTGGCTCACACGGGAAATCATGGCTCAGCTCGCCCCATGACTTGCCTCCTGGCCATGCCGAGCTGACTCACGAGTCACCCCTTTTGACATCCCAGTTCTTGTAAACATCTCTCTTTTTTGTTGTGATTGTGATCATCATGGATTTCTGGCATAAATGAAATTTTTAATTTTCTAAAGCCCATACTTAGATTTGGATTAATATGTTACAAAATGTGCTTTCTCATTTCACCTAGCCCTAATCTTAAAGAAAGGTTCACAAAGCAGACGGCTGCTAAGTTCCATATTATAGTTCCTTCCTATAATTTTTGTCCAGAAAACCATTTTCAAGAAAGGTCAAATCATTCACATAAATCAAGATAAAATGACATCACAAGTACGAACTAGGTTTTGTACTTTTGTAAATGCAGAAATTGTAATTTGCTTAGAGGCCTTTGCTCGATCTGCTTCTTATTGTTCCCAGGAATGAACAATGCGATAAAGTGATGATTTTTTATTTTTTTTTTAAATTTGATAATTATGTGTATATATTATTAGTATTATTATTAAAAAGGATATAATTGAAGTAAGTGGCACTTTCGTATATGATGAATGGCTCTTTATAGTGAATTATTTCTATGTTGCCCTTTCATAGAACTCTTATCAAGTTCATACGGAGCAGAGTTGTAAAGTCTGAGCCTCACGCCTCACTGAAAATTCCAATATTTCAGTTACATCTTGCATATTACTTACATTTATTTTCCCTGTCAAATCCTGAACCTACTATTTCGATGTTCTATTATTTAAATGTTTTCGGTCATGATTTTAATTCTTTAAGATTTATGGTATACATTTCTTTGTGATTCAATAGTTCTTCCAATTAAGGTTTTTATCATTGAAAATTAGTTCTAAACCAAAAGGGAATCTTTAGGTAAAATGAATTTCAAGTACCAATTTTGTGTAGACCAATGCGTTTCACAAATCACTTCACATTTTGATGTTTCTCTGTGTCGATATTATTCACTTGTCGTTGTTTCTTTAATATGCCCTTCACTCTTCGGCATTCCATTAATATATTTTCTTAGTTGTGCAATGTACATCCAAATAGTTTACTAAAATCATCAGTCAGTGAAGAATTTTATCCGAAACACTTTCTATACAGGCCACAGAAAGTAACGCCAAAACAAGAACACCATTGACTAAACCTTCAAGTCCTGGTATTAGAATTTCTGAAAGATGTTCATCAAGTTCAGGCAAAGGAACTTATCAAACCCTTTCCATCAGCAAATCTGTAAAGTCAAGTGATTCGCCATTCATCTCAGGCGAAACCAGCTGCTATTCAACTATCACTTCTGATAGCACTCCATCATCTCCAGCATCTCCAGAAGGAGAAACCAGCAATAATCATCCAATACAAGCTGCAGTGAACGACATAGTAGGTGGGACAAAACAGAAAGAGAAAGATAAGCGTATAAACATTCAGAGCCATAAAGTACCAGAAGTTAACAAGATTTTTAAGGGCCCAAAAGTCGATGGAAAGCAGAAGCCAGGAAATGGGAGGCATAGCTATACTGGACTGGGAAGTAGCTCAAGAACTGGTCGACTAGCAGTTGGCGTTGCCTCGTGAATATGATTTATGAACATATTCCCTTGGGGGTCACGCATCGTCATACTCAACTTGCTTACTATCATTGCATGTTCTCCGTAAACTAGACTAGTTCGTGCATATTTGTCTACTTTTACAAGGTGTCACAAGGCAATTTGTCAGTTCGGGGAGTTCGCTTTCCACATTGGATATGTTGTATGCAATGTAAAGTTTAGTTCAATAGACATTAATAACTATATGCATATCGTTCGAAAACTCAAATGTGGTTTTCTTGGTACCGCATTATGACACTGGATTAACACGATATGAAATTATCAGCATAGTATGGTATATCTTATTTATTAATAGATCATATATAGATACTTCGTAGATTGAAATGTCGACTGGCGCATTACCTTATTTGTCTTTACTCATTTTCTGATGCAGTAGTAGCCGAAATTTCTGCCGTTACATTGAATTCTGGAGAATTTTGTATCATTTTTGCTTCATTTTTTGTTGAGTTTTCACTAGAAGTTAGTGCGCACTGACTTACATATTTCTTGGTTGATGCTGGCTCATCAAATGGACTATCCAGCTACAGCATAAGCAAAAATGTCTTTATCATTTCATGGCCGTGACCTAGCAGAGCTCAAGTCGGGCGCCGAACGTACGCGTTAGGCCAAAAACTGTCGCCCTTTTGGAAAATGCTACTCTCTTATTTCTTTACGACGCAAGAATTTGAACTCGATATGGTTCAAAATTATTTCAAGGAAACATATAAATTGTTGACGAGTAAAGCTATATATTTTGGTCGTTAAAAGAACGTATTGTATGACAGTCCAAATAAATAATACATAAAAAAATGAAAATAAAATTTTTTTCAAAAAAAAAAAAACCCTACCGTATTTTAAAAATTCCGACAGTAAGGTCAAAAGTCTTTGTTTTATACTCGTGTCTTCTTTTTTCCTTAATTTCATGTGGAAAAATTGGCAAGGTGCTACTTTTGTGTCACTCTTTTTTCTTTACTCCTTGCCCCCCTTTTTATCTGTCTTTTAACTGTCTTTGAATTTCAAACATAGTTAGACGATAATTTGGAATGGAGACTTGGGGTCAACCATTTTGGTTGGTGATTGTCATATGATATAAGTTAGGTGATAAAATAAATTAAAAGAAAAATGACTCGAGTAATTAAAGTATCGATCACATCTGTCTAAAGATGTATATGCTTATAAGAGTATGCAATCTCGATAAAAGAAGTTAAAATATAGAAATATTTCTAATTGAAGTATTTGAACCAAAAAATTAAAAAATGAGATATTCAGCTTGTTAGTATCAAATTGAAGTATCTCAAGTCTTTTGTACATTTAAAAAGGAAGCAAAAACAAAAGTAAAATGTTCTCTCTTTCTCCTTTACTTTTGTTGTGGTCCAAGAAATATGGTGGGAAGTAAATGATACCACTTTTCTCTAAATAATTAATATTTATAATCGTAAAGATTACAATCCTTGAATATTGTCAAAATCCTTTGTAATTAGTTTGTAGCTTGTACGTGAGATGCAACATATATTATAAGTAAACAAAATGTGTTAAAATTTTATTTTTTTATGTCATTTTAGTCGTTAGGTATCCAAAGAAATTGATTATTAGATCGTAAGTTCTGTCAATTTGGTCCAATATTACGTACAGAATTCATGAATTGCTTCAAACGAATATAATAAATAGTGAGACAAAATATATCAAGATAATCGATCTTTTTTTTTTTTTGTAAGCAACAAAAATATAATACTTAAAAGTTTGTTTCCACATAATGGCCCATAATCATACATAATTATAGAAGGTGTGAATTTGATGAACAATTAAAATGCATACCCTCAACAATTCAGCTACATGATGCAATCAACTAATTTGAAATTCTAAACAAAACTACAATACGAAACGTAAGCCACAACCCACAAGATTGTTTATCATCATTCTCATGATCATCATCCCAAAATTTTGAACTAATTTCCTCAAGAACAGAACACATAATATTCTGCAAGGATTCTTTTACTATAAATTATAATCTAATACTCTTAATAACATGAAAATTCAAAACTCAGAGAAAGACAGTAGAAAAAACAAGAACGAGTAGAGGAATTATGATGATCATGGTTCTTGATCCTTGAATCAGAGCGGTTGATGAGGACTGATCTTGATGAGGTGGCTTTCTGTAATAATAGGGAAACCACGGCACTATTGGCTCGGGCGGCGGTGGAGTAACTCCGTTAAAAGGTGATGGAGGAGTAAATGGAAAGTAGCCAGCAGGAGGGGTGGTGAAAGCTGGAGGAGAGAAAGTAGTTGGTGGGGCAGTGGTGGTCACCGGTGGTGATGGTGGTGTAGTGGTCACCGGAGGGTTGTTTCCAGGGCCGATTGGGGGAGGATAACATGGATACGGGCACTCTTGCGATGTCGTGGTGGCCGGGAAATCAAGAATGGTGTAGAGAAATAGTAGTAAAGAGAGTAGGTTGTGAAGTTTCAAAGCCATTACCTTCATATTTTTGAGAAGAAATGGAAATGAAATGAAGAGAGAGATGATTTATTGAGGACTAAGAGCCTGTTTGTCATCCATTTTTGTNTGAAATTGTCCCTAATAAAATAAGACCCAAATTGATCCAATAAATATAAAATAAGAGGAATATTAAGATTATAAAATTTTGTTGGTGATAATGATTTAATTGTACATTAGTACATGTTTTTTAAGGTAACTTGTTGATTTTATTCATTAAAATTATTGAGCATCATAAGATCACCAATAAAATGTAGGGACTCCTCAATTCAATACATAACTACATGGACGACCCCATTTGCCTCACGTTGCACAAAGAAAACTTAAATTCGGTAAAGTAATTTTTGAGTTCCACAATCTTAGTCAATATAACGTGTTTGACAATGTGAATGACTTAAGAGTCTTAGCCTCAATTTGATTTCCTTTATTTTACTTTAATTTATTTATCATACTCATTTTCAACCATACATTCATAAAATAAAATATTTTATACGTAAACTTTCCAAAAAATATTATTCAAAACTATGTTTTTAAAATTTTAAGGCCACCTAGCAGGGGCTTAGCCAATATATAGCACCTTTAATCTTAGGTTCATGCTTTTAGATGGGAGTTCATATCTACCTTTTTTTTCCCATTAATGAATAATGATTAATGGCGTACTTAGTGTGCTCAGAAGGGAAAATAAAAATTTCATCATAGGTCCCCATCCTTTGATACTTGCTGTACTTTGGTCTTCAACCTTCAAAAAGGAGCATTAACATATCCAATATTTTGTTTGGTTAGCATGGAGGTCCTCAATAGATAGACAATTTTACCTTTAGCTTTAGTCTATTTTGTTTTATTTTTCCTAACTAGTTTATCGTACCAAACATGTTTTAAAACTCGAACCAGGAGTACTTAGTAATGAGTAACATTATAAACTAAAATTTTTTGATGTTGGTGTTTTCAAAGAGAAAGGTCATTCTTTTGAAAATTTTTTGATGTTGGTGTTTTCAAAGAGAAAGGTCATTCTTTTGTTCAAAAAATTATGGAAAAAACTCTTTAGAGTTTGTTTTTCATTAAGGAAAAAAAAACTCACAAATTTTATCACATATTTCTTATCTTAATTTAATTCATTATTTTCTGATTTATTGTATTAAACAAGGTAACTAAGATTGATCAATGATGTGTAGACTTCATGATTCTAGAAATTACAAGAAGTTTCAATTATAAAATTTATTCTATTGACCACTACTAGTGATGCTACTACCATCTCACACTTATTTTATTTGATTCATACGACGCAGTAGTAATTACTGGAACAATCATTTTAAAAAAGATAAAGCAATAATATAGAAAAAAAATTATCACGGTATACGATAAACAACTAGTTATTCTTGGTCTTGTGTCGTCAATTACTTTCTTACGAGGCATATCATTGTCATGCTAACTTATGGCATGGGAATTTGTTTTCAACATGAAAGGCACCTACCACCAATTTATAGAATTGGAGAGTTTTTATTTTTTTAATACATTTCAATTTTATATTTTTGAAAGAAACACGCCACCTACTCTTTTGAAACAAACAAAAAATCTTTCAAACATACGTGTGTGTATATATATATATATACTCTAAATAATTCTTCTTTATTGTTGTAAAGCCCTTCTTCGATTTAAGTATTAGAGTATGATCGACAACAACATTCTCTTCAAGCAGCTGATCATAGCTAACCAAACTTTTATTTTGATGTGACAAAGAAAACATAGCTGCCTTTGATAATATTAACAACAATAATAAAAGATTCTCAGTGTAATAGCAGCATTTTAGGTTGCTTTTTCCAAAATAACGCTCTTAAAATAAGATCCATTTGATTTTCAAATAATAATAACAATTATGCTACGAGTACATAATTTTTTGATAGATAATCCTTACAGACAACACATGGCGGCATCATTGGAAGATGGAAAAAAAAAGTCCAATTATATTTTGCCACATCAACATCGGTACACATTCTGTCAAATTTTTCTTGTACTCGTGACTTTATTGTAATAATAATGTTATTTACAATAATAATAAAAATCCATTTAAGGTGTGATTCATAAGGTCACTTCGTTTTAGCATTAATTTTTTAGGTTATGCTGCAAATACAGGGACCTTTTTCACAGGTCCCTGTCAAGCAACACACATTGTGTAGCCTGGTGTCATTATTTTTTTTTAATACATGTGGGGTCCACCCCTTTGTGAGGGACCTGTAAGTTCTCTGTGAAAAAATTCCCTGTGAAATTGCACAAGACATATCACTTACCTACTTGGATTAATTGTATAGCGGTCATCCAACTATACCTCAACTGCTAATAGGTCAATGAACATCAATTTGCAATAATCGAGCCACTTAATTTCAATTCAATAGAGATTGAAATACCCTATTAAAAACCCATTAATTTACACAACAAAAAATGTTTAATTGGTCGTTAAAAATGAAGTCTATAGACATGGTCATTCATGTAAGTACTCGTATTAGCTGCATGGAAAATGTAATTTGTGAATATCGTAAATAAAGAACGCTTATTAAAAAAAATAATGGTTTTTTTTTTTTTAAATCCCCAAATTAATCGTTCATTCAATTCAGAGCATTATAGGGAATTGAATTGAATTGAATGATGCGGAAATCTCTAAAAAAACACTACAAATCTTGAGAAGAATTTCAAGTCATTCTGATAAAATGAAGTTATTAATGTACTTTTTTTAAGGTAAGTCTTATCTTTTTGTGAGGTCATAAGCTTATCTTTTTTCAAGTGTACATTTGGATGTGGAAAATAGTATTATTTTGTACAAGTTTTCAATTCACACGACGAGACTAAAAGTAGTGTGGAGTGCCAAAATTGTTGTTGAAGCATCAAATTGCTGACCAACTACTCGTGATTCAATGCTCACCATAATGAATTCACCAATTTTTTAAAAAAAAAAAATTGTCGCTTTTTTACTTTTTTGTACAAATGCATTAATTTTTTATGTCAAGCAAGAACAAGAATGCATATTCTATTTTAGCTTTTTATTTCATGTTAAATTTTAAACTAACACTTCTTTTTCTCTTGTATTTAAGGACTTAATAATAATATAAGTTTGAAATTTATATATTATAATTTGTTCATATTATGATTGTGACATGTGGACTAAAGAAGCACGTAACTTAAATTAAAAAATCATAGTGTACAATGTGTTACAATACTGCCAATGTAAAAGAAAATTACATTTATAATGCATTTGCCTACACGACAAGTAACATAACTTCCAGTTTAGTAAGGATGTAAGTGCTCTTTGAGGTGATGCGGAGCATCCCAACACTGTTGGGACCCTTTGAACCTACATGTTGTGAAAAATCGGAAGAAATTAATGGAGCAATATAAAGTATTGATCGCTCACCAAACAAGAACAAGATTTAAAGTAAAGAAAAGAAAAAAAAAGGCAGAGGAATCGATATTTTATTAAACAATCAATTGAGAGAAAATACAATTTCAGTAACTTCTACTCTAAAAAAGGGAATGAGGAGTCTACCATTTATAGGGAAGATGTCCAAACCCAATATGAAAACAAGATAAGAACAAATCACGTGAAATAAAGGAAACAATATTTCCCCAATATTTTTCCAATAAAACAAGTGAAATAAAGAAAATAATATTTTTCCAAATACGTGCAAAGAAAGAAAAATGTATTCTTAAAAAATCTAAATAGTTTAGGTCACAAAATCCAACTAACTTCACTTTGATACAAATTTCTGTGCAACGAACGAAACTATAAAATTTCTCCACTTGAAAAAATAAGTCCGACTGCATCAAAATAAACAAATCTCTTCATTCAGTACCAAAACTCTCCAATTCACAAAAAAATCACATCTGCTCAGTGTCCACAAGCGACACCCGAATCCAACCACGGGTTCCCAAAATTTCAACAAAGAATTCAATAAATATCAAACATGGTCGAAGCATACCTTGTTGCAGAAAGCATATCAAATGCTTAAACTGAAGACCCCTTGAAAGAACTGTCACCTTCAAACACCCCAAAAGCATGACCACACGCATCTGAAACCTGGTACCTAGGCTCCATGAGTCCTCCCCTAGCAAATGGCTTAGAGTCCAACACGAAAGGTACTGTACCGAACTAAATCTCTTTAACAGTACTAAACCTGTCCAGATGTCTCTTCACTGGTTCTGCGCGCCCCTGCAGAATATACAGTTGAGAACTCTTTTGTCTTTTCAACACAACACGATGACCCCTTGGACCTTCAAGACTCCACCTCCATCGGAGAATGTGTACCCAATAGAATCTAGGGTACTCAGCGAGATGATATTCTTTCTTCCTTGAAGTGGTCCACATATAACTAAAAAATATATAATTTCACGCAATGAAATTTAGTACAGCTAATGTTATTATGAAATTTGGTTTCATATCCAAAATCACCTTATGTTACAATTATGTATTGGCATTGAAGAGATTGACTAACTTGTCATGAATAAACTTTTACAAGTAACATTTGTTATAAGGAATTTTTCATTTGTACAGAATGGAATTTCCAGAACATTCACATGGGGGTGGGCCCCAATTGTGAATGTGCGTTCTGTTGCATTTCTGTATGTATGTTTTCTGTACACACAACATTTCTCTTGATATAATTTTATATGAAATACATTTTTTCTGCTTTAGTGACACGTGTTCACCTTACCAAAGATTCCTCATTAACAAGTTTTGATCTCTCAAATATCTAATCAATCAATTAGTTCTTTATAATTACTCTATCATATTGTTTTGAAGGTTACAACTACCAAATTAATTTAACAATATATCAAATAATTAATAATTGTATGCTCATTATTCATTTTAGATAGGTAAAGTACTCAATAATTCACCAATAGAAAAATTAAAGCTAGTAACCAACTAGCTTACCAAACCCCATTTTCACTAACAAACAAGTCAGTGCACCATAGTAGACTAGACTAGTCTAAGTTTATGAATTAATAACCAATTGGAAATTATTTATGGTCCATTTTAATTGAACCCCCGGCTTCAGCACGTGGTTGTTTAAAGGGCTATAGCCCATGCCCTGTCCTTTATACCAAAAGTGGGACCCTTAATTTGGTGTAACCGAAGTTGATCTCATCTCGTTTCAATTACCAACAAATTTTGACATTAACATTATAAAACACTCCGTTCATGTTTGATAATCATTATTTGAGGAAAATAGAATTTAGAATAGTGATTTTTATGAAAATATATGGTTAAAAAATAAGAATTTTTTTGAATTTACGTGCATAATATTTTATTGTGTGATTATGTGGTTGAAAATGAATATATAGAAAAAATGAGTTTGAAAATAATAATTGTCAAATAGGGACTTAAATTCAAGAATAAAACAAATCTAGAACCATGTCAATAGTATTTGGCTTGTATTTTTCATGCAAGATTTTAACTTTTATCCAGCCATCAATAGTAATAAGATTAGCATAGTGATTGATTCAATCAGATAAAATTGAAAATCGAGCAAAAAGCTGAATTAACCATATCGGGTGTGAATTTTTGTAGTTTAACCAAGAACGCCTTGCTTATAATAGTCAATCGGGTTTTTCTTTAATACTTGTCTTGATAAAAATTAGTCACATTCAAAGATTGTTGGTGAGCAAGAGTCATTTTTTAAAACTTTTGAAGGGTATTAGTGAAATTTATGTTGGAAAGTTGGAAGGGCTTATTCACCACTTCTCCATAATTGTAGACTTGTAAGTGTCCAACTGCAATTTTGCAAAATATGATTGACTTTGGGCCCTGTCACCCTGTAGTCAATGTGGCACATTAATTTTACTTCGTTATGAAGTACCAGAAGGAAAAATCCATTTGTACAATGATTAAGACATTGTAATTTTTACAATCTCTCACATTAGGTTGAAATCTATTAATTAATTAATTAGTGGGTCACATCCTAATGTGAAAGGTCGTAAATTTTACAATGTCCCACATAGCATGACTATTAACAGAATTGCCAAATATTAAAAATCCATTGTATAAAGTCCCAAAAATAGAATTGCTTGATAATATTTACCATTAATTAAATGTCGTTTCGACTAAAACTAACCACTATACTAAAGTTGTAATTTGATCTTCTTCAAGAAGAGTAGCTATTTATATTGATTTTTCTGTCACTAAGCCACATTTCAACGACCCCTCAAAATTGACAATTGATCGATCATAAGCTACAAATTTGACTGGAATAAAAAATTAATTGAGCTCGAGTACTATTCAGATAGACTCTAAAATGTATTATTTTCCCATCCTATAAACTATATAAAATATTTTATTTTTATTAAATTATTGATGATAGAGTTCAAAAGAAGAGAATATTAATGAATCAAATTTTAGGCAGCCGCATCTACACGAGGATGCTTCTTTGAAAAGACACCCTAATCTAACTAATGGACCCTAAAGAGAAAAAATTAAGGATTATGCCTTTTGTACATTGATTTTGTACACTATTGTTGACATTTACTTTGTTGTTTGAAATAAGGGAATGGATTTTTATTTTTATTTTTAGTTGCTTTTTTTTTTTAAACTGTCCAATTGAATAATGCTACATAATACACGGGCTGGCTTGGCCTTGGCCAGAGCTGCAAGTCTAATCGGACCAGTTTTTGGGTTTTTCCCAAGTCGAGCCACGGGTCGCCTGAGCTAACGAGCCAAATTCGCACCCTTAAATCCAGCTAAACATGTCTTTTAATTAGGAGTGGACGCGGTCTGATTCAATCCGATTCTAAAGGGAACCAAAACAAATTGAATACCAATAGGAAACTTAAAAATGGAACCATCGGTTCCATATCCAATTAAAGAACCGAACCAATTGGTTCCGATTTGGCTTAGTCAGATTCTTTATATTAAAACAATTATAAAAATAAACTATGAAACTATTTATTAAATTGAAAATAGACAAAAAAAAAAAAAAGAGTATGAAATTACTGTCATTCTTATAATCTATCAATACAAAAATTAATTGAACAAGGCAACAAATAAAAATCCATTTCAAAACTCAAGATCAACTTATAAAAGCGACAAAAATGATAAACTATTAAATACATAATAAGCGGTAAAATCTTGATTGAAAATTAATTTTTAAGAAAATTCATATAACAATAGCCCGACTATCTTTAGTAATTCTCAAGGATCATGATTCCTAAAGGCTGGCCACTTTTAAAATAACAAGAAATTTGAAATCTTATGAAATATTGAACTAAAAATCTATTTTCCCTATTGTGTTGCATTCAAATTATAAATTTTATTTAGACTTGAATTTCAATTACCCATTAAAGAAAAGAAGAAGTGGTGTATGGAAATTGAGATTTTAACATGAGATGGTTTTGGGGTTTTATGTTCAAAGTTCTAGTGCATCTTGGGACAAGTAAAAAAGAGAAATTCAGGATAACCAAATTCACTGTTGATTTTCAAGACAGTACCGAGAATTCGATGGAACTAATCGGGGTTCCCACAATCGACCCATTTAGTAGAGGAACCGGAACTGAACTGATCGATTATATTTGGTTCCAGTCCGATTCCACTGATTATGAGAAAAAATGCTCACCCATACTTCTAACAATTGTAACGAGGTTTAAAGAGACGAATCATACGTGTTGCACCTTAGTAATGGCAGGATGGACAGGCCATCACCCTTACAATTTTATAATTAATTTTCAGGACACTCTACCCTTTTTTGGCACCTCTGATAGAAACACGAGCAAGTAGATCATACATAACTTTCAAATAGCAATGACTGAGAGAATTGAAGTTTGACCAAATAACATAAGAAAAGAAATCAAGAAACTTTGTAACTGAAGAACATCACAAGTCACTTGGATTAGATTAATACATAATAGTGCAATCGAGCTCTGCTACTCAAACATGGCGTAATTAAGAAGAAAATGAAACAGAAAGTTTATTGAAATTTGTCGATCACTTGAAGATTAAGGTACAAATTATAACTAATTAATCACACCAACCTAAAGATTAGAAATAAAATTTCTCATCCCAAGAAATTCTTCTCTGGATTCTGCGTCTCTTCATGGATTGCATTAAATTTTGTGCCTTTTTTTTTCATATTCAAATGAAAGCTAGGATTCCCAATACAGCGCTGATAAAAAATGGCAATCGCAGAGAGAACCTCCGGCTAGCACCCGAATAGTAAGGATCAACAGGGTACAAATTTCCCGGCGGACCATTTATGTATATGTAAGGAGGATTTGGAGGGTACTGGCCGCCGCCACCGCCGCTGGGGGGAGGTGGACAGTAGTTGCTTGGTGGCTTAATCTTCGGTGGAGGTGGTGGTGAAGGTGGTGGAGGAGGTGGCGGGGCTTGGTTACATGGGTTGTTGCAAGGACAATTTCCACACTTGTTCTGCAAATCCGGTGGTGCTTCATCATCAAGCTTTCTTGGATTCAATCCTTCAATTCGAATCGACATCGAGATGATAACCAAAAAGACAGTGAATTGCATTACTTTGAGCCTAGCCATGGAAATTTGGAGGTGAAGGAATTCGATTTTTTTTGTGGGGTGAGATGTTGGGTATGAAGAAGTCAAGAAGAAGGTTGATTGTGAAGTCTTTATGGGCAATTTTGTATACGTTTGTTAGGAGTATGAAAATTTCTTAGTACTTAGGAAAATTATTTGGGACGTTAGGATGAAAATAGTAGTGTGTGACATGATGACTTAATCCACAAGAATGCATGTGGCCTTCTCCACTTTTTGAGATCACAATAAAATATAAATCATATTTTCTTGACTTTGCATCTATACTTTCAATTAATGTGCACTTATTATTTATAAAATACGTCTTACCGAACGTTATGTATGGAAAAAGTATGGGCATTCCAAGTCCAAGCTATATCTTTAAATATTTTGAGAAATTATTGAAGTGGCTATTGAATTATGATGATCATTTGGTCGATCAATTTTATAGTACAAGAAATTTCACTTTTAACGTTAAATATAATTGTCTTGAAAAGTGTTTTTGTCGGTCCTTTTTCAACTAAACAATATATTAAAAAGAAGGAAAAGAACTAAATATTTTTGATTTATTGTCAAGGCTTCTGTGTTGCGTACCAACCATGCACTCACGGCATAAGCATGTTTCGATGATGTCACATTAGACTGAACATGCCAACCGTGAATTGAAAAAACTAGGAACCCATCTCGATATATGATAAAACGAAAAATTTCAAAACCATTAAAAACCCATCGATTGATCTCCAAAATCAACCAGTTCATCCAAAATCGGTTGGTTTGGCCCTAACTTTCTATTAGTTTGTCCTTTTTTATCCCATGTTTGAACATGGTTCCTTCCTTGACCCTTCTTATTTTTGTGGTTGTACTCAGTTCGATTTTTAAAATAATAAATTTGATTTTTTATACTATTGACCCCATGTATCAATTTTTTTCTCAAATTCATTTTTAACTGCACATTCTCATAATAAAATATTTTGCACGTAAATTCAAAACTTTTTTCTATTTTTTAACTTCACATTTTCAAAAAATTCACTATTTCAAAACTCATTTTCTCAAAAAAAAAAAAAAAAAGATAAAAAAAATTAAACAAAATGATAGTCAAACATTGACAACTCTTCATCCACAAATAATTCTTAATGTGAAAACACAGAGTCAGTGGCTGATCTTTAGAGGCTACGACTGCATTCACCTCCTAAATACTATCGACAACTGGTTATTCGTGTCATAGGTTCTTTCTTTCCTTCTACCATTTAATAGCTCAATTTTGTAACCTCATACTTCAACTCTTACTCCGCATCCCAAATAATCCGAGCATAAATTTTCAATCGTAACCCAGAGTTGTCATATCAAAATCTATGCCATTTATTATTTAAAGTGCTGTGAAGATCAATGTCTAAAAAATGTCACAAAAAAAAAAAAAAAACTGATTCTAATGGTTGTCAAACTTGTCATACATGAGCTAAATGATTAATATGCAGAGAAAGCTGTAACATGGTGAATGCAAGCTATAAAGGAATCACATTTTTTGATATTAGAATGTTTGTGCTAAAGGAGATTTTGGACAGCCCATCGTAGTTGTAAATCTTCAATTTTGTAAAAACAATATTTTCAACATTTACTTTTGTGCGCTTTATTCATAAATATAAAAATTATCAAATGTATTAATTATTGATTAATGCTGGTTGGCCAAGGTTCACCACCTCAGCCTTTAATTTGAAAAAAAAGGGGCCCCACATGAATTCAAATCAAAGGTCGAGGTGCATCCACCTCGGCCCCCTGGATTTGGCCATGGATAAGTAGCATTGCTCTTATTATTATACAAGTGTATGAACCTGATCATCAACTACGTTGCTCATATGTCAATTAATTTTAACACCTTTGTTATCATGTATATTTAGTAAATAATTGCTCAAAACTAGTCATTGCAACCTTTTTAATAACGAGATACCTATTTATTTACTAATTATTGATTTATATTAGATGAATTATTAGAGTATTTGTGGTTAGAATTGCTTGATATATTTTTTCTATAAACTGAAATAGAGTAGTCATTGAACTCAACGAGTAGGAAATGGGTTTAAAAAATAAAAAATTCACATTTTTCTTTTGTCCTAGTTCATGAGTGAAAATTAACTTAGAGATTAAGGATCTCTAAAACACTTTAAAAAGAAAAAAAAAATCAAATTTTTTTTTTAACTTTCACCGCCAAAAAGTGCTTTTAAACTTTGAAAAAGTCCTTCCAAACACGCTCCAAAAACATAATTGAATATTTTTCATTTTGTGTTCCTAGTATATCAGTTGGACATAAATTGATAAAACAACAATTGATGAAACTTGAACCTTAACATTTAATATTTCTTTAAATGAAATTTCTAGTCTCTATCAATACAAAAAGTAAACAAAACTTAATAACGCCAATATTAATTTCCTATAGCTCCTCCACATGCTAGTCCAAATAATACGGCAATTATGCCACACGATGCTCATAATTGAATTCCTACCAGTTTTAGGGGCACCTTCGTCGTTTAAAATCGAGGCTCAACAAGTGAAATACTCCACTTCACTTTCAGGCCAAATTTCTTATTATTTATATCCCAATTCTTAGTAGTCCAGTTTGCTATTTTCGATCCTATACTTCTTTAAGTTCTACACTCAGAGGCGTGGGGCTCTCTTCGACCCCTTATTGCCGATGAAACCTTGGAAATTCTTCCGAAAATGAGAGGCCACCACTGGTATAGTACTCATAAACCTATTCGTGAGGTTTCCGTAAAGAGGTTTTTTTTTTTGTTAATGTACGTCGAACTAACGCAGTGACAAAGATTTTTTAGTTGTAACTGACAGCATAACTTTCCCAACTCAATTATTATTTTCTTCAAGTCGTCATTATGGGGTTTAAATCGAATTATTATTTTCTTCCAAACTAAGTATTCCGTGCTCAATTATTGAACCCATTTCAAGATCAAGCCTCATAAAGTTAGTTAATAGTTACAGTTCAACATAACAGCGATTTCTAACTATTCAATAACACCAAAACCTGTTTGAAATTATTCTGAAATCTTAACTTCAATCTATCGCCTCAGTTAGTCTTTAGAAGAAGATAAACTACCCACATCACAGTACGATTAAAGATCAGGTCCATAAATTCCATCAAATCGACCTTTCCTCTGATCGCAAGGACAAGGAATTATTTCAAATATTGCTTGTTCAATAATCTCTACTCTAGCAGTTGTCTAAGGCTCAACGATTGATTTTCTACACTAAGGCTAGAATCTTCTTCCCATCTTTGATGTATTTCTCATTTTTCATCATACCTGAACAAATCTGTGCTTGTTTCTGCTTTGCAATATCAACTAAAAATATATACTGATGAAACACACATTTGAAAAAAACTTGTGGCCTTTTGTCGGAATTTTTAAGAGTAAAATTGTTGGGACCTTCAGTGTTCTAAGATTAAATATGGATAACTCTACTTGCAAGCTCAAAGAAGTTTACCCTTCCTATGGCCATGGGTAAAGTGAACAGGCAAATTGAAGCCAGAGTCTAATGTCCATTCATGTCACTCTGAGCTTCAACAGAACAAAATGGGCCAACAAAAAATTTCTCCAAAACAACAATTCAACAAGGACTAGACAGCCCATTCAACTTGGTAGAATTCAGCCCAATATAAAAGCACTAACAAATGATATCATCAAACTGAACCAAAAGCAACAAATAAAACAGTCCTATCCCATTTATTCCAAGAATTTGTACAGTAAGATTAGAAGAATAACATAATAACTAAAGTAACATTGCACACGAGTAAATTTCATATCCCTCATTGTGAGAAATGGCTATTCTTCAACCTATAATCGAAGGTAACATTCTTTCGTGTACCAGGCCACATCAGGTCGTGCCTTAGGGAGAAGAAATATTCTTCCTTCAGATGGGCACCAATGTTTTCGAAGAACTATTCAAAGACTTCAACTATTTCTCATTGGCAAAACCTATTTGCCGCGTACATTTCATAGGCTGGGCTTGCTTCCCATGAACTTCCCATTGGAGTTCCAGAACAATAAAGACCATGTCCAGAACACCATTGAAACTCATACATGGATTGCTGAGGAGAACTTGTCCATTGAGTAGTCTCAAAACCTCGAGCCATCTCCCAAAACATACTTTGTAGTTCCTCAAAGCTGTAGGTTTTACCCTGCGTCCAGAAAGAGAATTACGTGTCCATTAGTCGAGAGGCTAAAAATCGTAAACGCTTACATCGCGATTTCTCTTAGGAAATAGAAGGGAGGTTAACAAACTGATCCATGAACAGATTTTACTAGCTAAGGTCATGACCATAGATTTTCAGCAACTAATTAACTACTGATTATAGCACATAAAAGATGCTTAAATAACTCAATTTCGCAATGCTTTAACAAAAAAATAAGAAAACAGCATATGCAAAGCGCTGCAATATCATCAAACTCTCGATGACAGATTATATTATAATGTTTCATTTTCCCGTTTAAGCGTGATCATTCTTAAAGATGAGCAGAAAACCAAACAAATCAGTGACCAATTACATTTTCCCTTTTCTCGGTTAAACAGCTACATGAATCCTTTTTAACCGCGACAAATACACTGCTTTGAATTTTAATGAAGACTAAAATAGTATCAAATCTTTTTACATACATATAGAAGCAATTGGATTACAATTTCAATGTAAACCATATAAAGAATGAAAGCATTATTCGACAAGTTACAAAATTTTCGACAGGAAACAGAGAATTAGTAGAAGACTTCACCAAACAAAGCATTTAAGATGTAACTAAACAAAGTCGAATTCAAATGTGCCTAATTGATGGTTTCTGCTCGTTTTGTTATATAATTCCAGAAAAATGTTGTAAATAAACTAGTATTGAACTCAAGATATCCATACCTCTTTCCTCACATCATCCATAAGAGACACCATTTCGTCAAGAAAATCAGCAAATCCCTATAAAGAGAATGAAATTGACACACTGTAAGAAAAATAATCTTTACAATATGAATTAATAATTAAAATCTGGACACTAACAGACACATACTTCGACCTCCTTATCGTCGTCATCAGGATCATAAACCCCTGCATTATACATTGTCCTCTTCCTTCTATCCGATAACACTGTTTAAGCCAAATAAGCATTTAATCAGCTGGGTAGTTCAATCAACAAACAGAAGATGAACATTTACTTCAAGAAAATAGAAGAAACTTGAAGAGGAAATATCACCTGAATAGGCTTCTTGAATTTGTTGGAATTTCTGCTTAGCCACACCAAGCATTTTTGGGTTTTTAGTCCATTTATCCGGATGCCATTGCTGCAGAAAGTTTTAACAACCAGAAAATATAAATAAAAACAAATTCCCTGAACAATAAGTGGCTATTTAACCAAGATTTAAGAATGATGGACAAATAATTCTTCAATTTTGTGCAAAACAACAAAGAAGACACAAATTCAACAAGAAACAAGATTGTGAAGCTTGTAGCGTACCATAGCAAGCTTACGGTAAGCACGTCGTATTTCTTCATCGGAAGACTGTGTATGTACCCCAAGAGTGCTGTAATACGAAAGTGGCCCTTTACTAGACTCCATCTCTGGTGCAAAATTAACAAAATACTCTATTCGCAGAATTGGTTTCTTGTTCACGACCAAACTAAACAAAGATATTTCTCTGGTGTCTACTTTTTTGGGCTCGAATTGCGTGTTAAAATGCCGAACAACGATGAAAGCCGGTGGATATATATATATATATATATATGTACACACGCTCTAAAAGGGGTGATAATTATGGATGGAATAAGGCGGTTTGTTATGTGGGTCCCGTGTAGAAAAAAAATCTGGAGGAAAAGATGGTGAAGGCGATCTAGAACGTTCTTCCGAAAGTTTCTTGAATGTTCGGCTGTTGAGATATTTTGTAAGAAGATACTCTGTTGACTGCTCATGTTGTTAGCGAGATAATTAATGAGATAATTTGAACAATAATTATAACTACCTACAGAAAGTTTTTGTGGCATCACATTTTAAATATTTTTTTGATTTATAAAAATGAACATTAATAAAATGACATAAATAGCCTCTTAATTTTTATTTTTCAAAAAAAAAAAAGCAATTCCGTTTAAGGATGACAAAAAAACCCGACAAACCCGATACCCGCGGGGACCCGCCCCGAACGGGGAAAGGAAAACCCGCTTAAACGGGTAACGGGGCGGGGATGGGGCGGGGAATTATTCCCCGAGGCGGGGACGGG